AGCTCGCCTCTGCTGCCCTTCAGGGTTCCACCCGGAGGTCACCTTCCTTGTGATGTCCCACGATCCACAGGTGAATCCAGCACCTCCACCTCCCGCCAAGCCGCAGCGCTCTCCCTGCCTCTCTCTAGACTGCTTGCTTATGGTGCTGGGGCCCTTGCTGAACTCTGGACCTCACAGGCCTGGGGTTCTCGAGCCTCTGCTCAGACAGCAGCTGCTCCCCAAGCAGCCTGTCCCGGTCCAGGAATGTGGATGCCACGACATGCTCAACCTTCATCGCTGTGCGACCAGTGGAAGCTGCTGAGCCTTTCTGTGTTGTCGTTTCCCAACCCATGAAGCGGTGGTGAGATTGCCATCCGCCTTCCACGCAGTCTCTGCTTAGTGAAGCCCCAGCGACACACGAGACACCATAGGACAGCTTCTCAGACATTCTCCTGGATTTGGATAATTACTCTTCTCTAATTACCTCTACTCACATTAGCTGCGATTTATGTAATTATTATCCCTGCAGAATAACATCCAACATTCATTATCACTCATGGACACAAACCAAGCAGTTCAGGCCGCAGCACATAGTAGGTCCTTAGTAAACTGGTGACTCCTTGGAACTGTTCTCCTGCAGCACAGACATCAGCTGTTACCCTAAAGCTCTGCTCAAGAGAACAGGAAGACAACCCCACCCCGACATCCCCCCAGCATGACGTACATCCCTGCGACTGGGCCACCTAGGCCCAGAGCCCACTGGGGCCACCTACCTGCTGGTCTGCAGCTCCGGCTCCCTCCCCTCCTCCACACACTCCATAACAACTGCAAACACTCAGGAATGCAGAGGGGGCCCGAGGACAGAATTATTTTTACTATCAAACCCAAATTGGTTTACTAAAACTGTCAGCAGAAACCAAGCAAGATAAATGAGACCCGGCACTTCGGGGACCCTGGAACTCTGGCTGGGGCGCTGCTGTTCTCGCTCCCTCTGTGGAAGGAGGTGCCGGGGCAGAAGGCACCTCAGGGAGCAGGAGCCAGAGTTTGCCAGAGATAGCCCCTGAGCATTCCCTTCCTTCTCCAAGCTCTGATCCCATTAAGTGCCTAAAACCCATCCTGTGCTGCCCTGTCCAGGAAAGTCCAGACTCTCCAGTGCAGCCTTCAAGGCCCTCAGGGTTCACAGCCTCCTGGGGTCACACTTCGTCTTTCCTCATGGAGTTCCAGACCTGTGAGGGTCCTTTCAAGGCCCTACAGACATAGTAAGTGGGGTTCAAATCCAAGTTGTGCACAGAGCTCTTCACAGGCTCTCTTTCCTATCTCTCTGAGCCTCAGTTTACTCATCTGCAAAATGGAGATAATAATAGAGCCCAGGGCATCTGCTCTTTGTGAAGATGCCTGGGATGCACTGAGCATCCGGCAAATACTCAATAATGTGAGCAAATAACATAGCCATGCTCTACAGCCTCCAGAACTCAGCATGTGCTGCTCCTTCAGGCTGGAGCACGGCTCCCTTCCACCTCTGCCCATCTTGTCTTTGTCCCTTGAGTCTCAACATGGACCAGGGCTTCTCCCCAGGCACTCCTCACATTCGGATCAGCTGATTTGTTTTAGTAGGGACCCTCCTGTGCTTAGCGGCATCCCTGATCTGTACCCACTAGGAGCCAAGTGCATCTTCTGATAGTCACAGCTCGCAGTGCCCCAGACTTGGGCAGGTGTCCCTGGCTAGAATGACCTTTGCTGGTGGATAACCACTGCCTCAGACACCACTTCCCCAGAAAGCCTTTTCTTCAAGTCTGCTACCAGCCTCGAATTCCCACCCTGAGCCTGGGCTCCTGCATCCTGTGGCTCCAAAAATGCTGCGGTTCCTAGGCCGGTGGCACCTGCCTGGCCAGGGCCCCCACTGCCAGCAGCACAGTGGGGCCGAGAATTGCTGCTGGGATCAAACTGAACTCACTCCTGACAAGAGTGAGCGTGGGGCCTGGATTGATTCTGGTGTCACTGCAAGCCCTCAGGCTCTGGGGAGATGCAGGTCACTGGAGGACCATGCCCTCCTTACTGGCCCTGACCTGGGCCTGCCTGGGACTCTGTCACCTTCCCGGCCTTCGCACGCTGGATGGAGCCCCAAGTCCCCCCACTTTTGGTACTCTAAAGGCCCTGATGAAGATCTCTGATAAAAGCTCACAAAGCCTTCCCTTGGGTCTCCATGCCACGCTTACTTTACCTTCTAATTCCTAACCCAGACCTTCTTAGCTACTACTCTTCTGGCCTGTATTAAACACGAGTTGACAAATGAAGGCTGCAGCCCTCAGAGAGTTTCTCCATTGTAGTTCTCTGCTCTTTCCCCTTGTGCATCATGGCTACATGGACATGTACCTGGGTTCACATTCTGGCTTTGAAACCTCATGACCATGTGGCCAGACCAGGTACCTTTATTCCACCAATTGTTATTTACTGAGCATCCTGGTTCACCTGTTAGGGTGATGGCAGTGGATAAAACCCTCAGGGAGGTGACATTCTGGGTGGAGGGGCGGGGATGAAATGGGAACAAATGCAGCAGTGTGTGAGTGGGCCGAGTGCTGCAGAAGGCCGGGCAGGCTGAGTACAGAGATGAGCTGCACAGGTATTTGGAGCAGGGCATCAGTGCAAAGGCCTTGAGGTCCGTAAGTCTGCAGAACAGCAAAAAAGGCCACAGTGGTCAGAAGCAGAGAGAGAGGAGGGGTGAGGGAAGAATGGATGGAGGAGGTGTACCCAGGGAGGGTCACATCCTGTGAGACCTTTTGTATGAACTTTGGCTCTTACACCAAACAAAATGAGCTACTGTGGAGTTCTGAGCAGAGAAGCACATGGTCTGGCTTAGGTTTTAACAGGACATTGGGTTAGAGATAGCCAAAAGAGGGCAGGAGTGGGACAGGGTGAACAGAGGGGAGTGGCTGTAATAACCCTGGAGCACGACAGTGGTATGGACCACGGTGCAAGCAGCGTATGGCTCAGAAGTGCCTGGACTCTGCATGTGTTTTCACCTTTGCGTAGAATCAGCAGGATTTCCTGAGGATTCAGACACAGAGTGGGAGAGGCAGGAGAATCCAGTTCACAGCGACTGTGCTGAAGCCAGCTCCTACTAGTGCTGTGGAGCCCATTGTTAAATCTCCAGGCATTTGGTGGGCCTGTCACTACCCTGATGTTGGCCACAATGGAAGTCTTTACATCATGGAAATTTGGCAAGTGCTACAAACCAGGGCGTGCGTGCTGCCCTCGTTTGTTGAGACAACCAGGTGTTGAAAGTTTACCAGAACTTCATGGAGCCAGAATGATGCCATGGTTGGTTGGTCTGTTTTGCTTTTGCCTGGGCAGCCGGTAGAATGGATTGCTCCTTACTGAGATGGGAAAGATGGCAGGGAACAGGTGCCGGGGAAGAGATCTGGGTACCAGGCACTTGGGATGCCACCTGGCCACCACACTTTCCAGGATAAACTTCAGTGCTGAAGGGATAGCTCTGGGGCCTTTCCAGAAGCCTGAGTCCCACTTGGCCCAGGGTAGACATTGACAGATTAGGTCTAGAAGGGGCAAAGGAGCATCTCACTCCGGACATGAGGGGTGAGGGGGAAGAGAGGAGGAGAGAAGAGGGGTTGGGGGAAGAGGGGGAGAACGGTTTGGGGAGAGTGGGTGAGGAAGGAGGGGGCAGGGGAAAGAGCATGAGCGAGAAGGGTGTGGGGAGAGAGGGTGGGGGATGGGATGCGCTAATGGGGAGGCAGAGGGAGGGGTACGTGCACCCATCTCTGGCCACAAAGCACTGACATTTTCAGAAGCCCGCAACAGAGGAGGAAAACCAGGACCCCAAGAGAAGCTCTCCGCCACACAGTCTCACATGTAGAAGGTGGTGGGGCTTTTCCCAGGCTTGCCTGGCCCCAGGTCCAAGCTTTGCCAGCCACCACGGGCAGCTTCAAAGGACAGCCACTGAGTGTTTGCAGAGGAGAGCCCTCCTCTCCATCAGCCTCACCCGCCTTCCCCTCAGCCGCCTGCTCTGCCTGGAGTCTCTCTCCAGCTTTCTCCAGACACTGTCATCTGTCTCTGTCCCCATCCTGCCCTGTGCCCTGTCTCCCAGGCAGCGGAAAGGGCATGGCGAGGAGCTGCCAAAGCCTGGCTTTCAGCGCTGCTCCTGGCCAACTCCGAGGCCCCAGGACCTCAGCTGCCTTACCCTGCATTCCCCTCCAGGTGGCTCTTCGGGAGGTGACCTTGCCATAAATGTTTAGGGTAACCACCTCTGGAGCTTGCCCATGTCCCCACAGTGTCCCCTCCTGGGGAGTTGGAGGAATGGACATTCTGGACAAAGCCTCTAATGGTTACTCCCATGGGGCCCAGGAAACAGATGCACAGTCTGTGGGACAGGATTCCCTTCAGCCATTATTTCCTGAGGTCCTTGTCTGCGTCAGGGTTCATGTTAGAATCTGGACACAGAAAAGCCAGACCAGACCCTGATGTCATGAGACCTTCTGGTCTAGCTGGGGGACAGAAACAGTGAGTGTGTGGTAGAGTGTCCTTCTCTCATTGCCTGCACTGGCCATTCAGGCGTCTGGAAAGGGCATGCCTGCTCTTACCATGGGGCCTTTGCACATTCGGTCTCTTGGGATGCATCCCTCCAACTCATCCTTTAGCTCTGAACTTTCACATCAGGTCCTTGGGGAGGCCTTTTCTGACTTCTCTTTTTTTCTGACCTTCTTTGGCTTAAATTCCCAGTATAGGTTCTCACAGCACCATGAGCCTTTATGTCGCTTACTGAAGCTACTGCATGCAATTCCCTGGGCATGTGCTTATTTGACATCTTAGTGTGCGGATTTCCAGAAGATAGGGACTCTGGGTGTGTAAGCTGCTGATGTGGCTGGTCTCACCATGGGGGGACTGCAGGCCCTGGCACATAATAGATGCTTCATTAATGCTGGTTGACAGAATAAGACAGGAATTAACTTTTTCCCCATCTCCCCAACCTGGCTGGAGGTGGGGGGGGGCACCAACAAAGCACTTACAACTGGATATCTAGGAAGATCCGCTTCTCCTCCCCTACGTGGATCTTCCAGACACAGTCTTCACCTTCCACGTAGGGCTCTGGCCAGTTTGGGGACAGCACCACCCCAGCCACAGCAGAGAGTTCCCCACCACACATGGCTGGAAAAGACAGACGACAGACAGACAAACAGACAGAAGGACAGGTAGGCAGGCTTTACTTGTAAGGAAGACAAGAAGGCACAGCTGTTCGAATAGGCTGAGCCACTTCAGGTGCCTCTGCGCCCATCAGTCGGTGCCCGTGGTTCGGGTGACAGATGGCCAGCTGGCCCCTGCCTGCTCTTGGGCTGAGGACTGGCAGAGTGGGGCTGAGAGCGGGCGGTGCTTTCAGCACCAAGGACAGAGCTCAGGGGTCCCGAACCTGTCCAGCAGCCTGGCCTTTCTGCAGGCGGGGCTGAGCGCCACTACGCACTCAAGTCTGGGACCTGGGTTGGTCTTGCCTCTGCCGCCAGCAGCCTCGGTGACAAGGCGCGTAGCTTCTTGGAGTCTCAACCTGCTTCCTCCGTGTCACGGGGGAAATACCACGGCTGTAAGACGAGGCTGACTGTGCTCAGTGTTGAGCACGCAGCGTCATGCCTGGCACACGGCGAGTGCCCACTGACCTCGGGAACGTCACCATGAAAGGGTCCAGCTCTGGGAGGGAAGCAGAGGCGCGGCCGCGTCTAGGGCCCTTTAAATCCGCTCTGTGTTTACAGCTTTGGAAGTTCTCAACGCGGCCAAGGCCAGAGCACCAATAAATGCCGCTGTGTTAAACCAGCCCATTTAATACAGGGCTGGATCCCTCACGGCAAGAGTGCGAGTTCACTCTGGCGCCAACCTCGCCTGGAGCGAGCACACCTTGCCTGACTCCACGCGCTGCCCGGCTCAGCAGCCTTGGGTTGGAGAGGCCGGGGCGGGGCAGGGCAGGCCTCCAGCCGTGTAGACGAGGGCTCCACCGGCCAGTGCTGTGCAGAGAGGCTCAAAGCACAGGCCTCTGAGAATAGGGAGACCCAGGTTCCACTTCCGTCTCTGTCGGTTACCCTGTGTGCTCTTAGGAATGTCACTTCACATTGTCCTTATCTGCAAATGGGGCTAATAATATCTGCTTTATAGGACCACAGTGAGGATGAAATCTGTTAATGAACATACAGCCCTCGCAGAGTGCCTGTAATATAATTATCAGGCACCTATTTACATCTATTATTATCCCATTAATGAGATTCAGGGCTGCCTTGTGCTATTGGGGATGTTTTACACTGCAGAAAGTTGTACAGCAAGGGGAGCATTTAAGAACCGTCACCCAGCCACTGATCTGCTCAAAAGCTGTGGCCTGTGGGTCCTGTGCCCGAAGGAAGGGGCACTTTTAAAAATGTATCCACTGTGTTCTTTCCCCAAGGACCAGCAGCAGCCATAACCCACAGGATGGTGAGGCCTGGACAGGGTGTGTGCACTGCAGCCCTGCGTTTAGGCTGAGGCCCCAGGCTTCTCAGCAGAAGGGGGTGAGGCCCCCAGGGGTCCCCTCTCACCTCTGCACAGGGGCTCCGTGTCGTTCCAGTATGGGTCACGCACATTGACGCACTCAATGATGGCTGGGCCCTGCTCCAGCGAGTGTCCGGGGTCACAGGTGAACTCCACCACCGTCCCGATGTTGTAGGTTGGGTCGGACGTGGTGAAGTTCCCGTTCTGGATGTAGGGCTCATAGCAGTGGCCTTTCTCGAAGGCTGTGTGGGGGCACAAAAGGGGCAGCATCCAGGATGAGTCGGGGCCACCCCTCATGCTGCCTTCTAGAAGGTGGCTTCCCTCCCACTGTTCAGAAAAGCTCCAGGGAACCGGGTGTGGTGGCGCAGGCCTGTGATCCGAGCTCTCTTGGAGGCTGAGGCAGGAAGATCACAAGTTTAAGTCCAGCCTGGGCAATTTAATGACTTAGCGAGACTGTCTCAAAATAGAAATATAAAGGGCTGGCAATGTAGCTTAGTGCAAAGGGAGGGAGGGAGGCAGGGAGAGAGAGAGAAATGAAAACCAAATCTCCAGGGAAAATGAGGACCTCAGTGTGTTCTGGTTCCAGTTGACCCACAGAGAGACCGCCCTCAGCTCTGTGCTTGGATTCTTGGGTGCTCACTGCTTTATATGTAAAAGGCCAGGCAAATGTCCTCCCTGGGGCCCTTCGCTTTCTGGGGGAAGCCGCAGTCTGTCCATGACAGAGGGCCAGGGGTTTAGCTCAGTGGTTCTGCAGCCTGCCTCGAAAGTGCAAGGACCCAAGTTCAATCCCCGTACCAAAAAAAAAAAAAAAGCCCTTGGGCACAAAGTGTCTATGACAGAGACCACCTTTTCCTCGGAAGCCAGGACAGAAAGTGCCAGGGTGCATACAGCATGGCACAGCCTTCTCCCAGGGCTGCGAGGTTCTCGAGAACTGCCCGGAGGCGGGGTGGCTGGGCTCTCAGAGTCCCTGCTGGGTGAGAGGCACAGAGTGTGCCTCTGCACAGAAATCTCGGGCTCCGTTCTGCCTGAGTGATGGCCTCGGCAAGGCATCCCTGGCCCGGGTACCACATCTAAAACCAGATATAATAACGGTTCTCATAATCCATTGTGGCCGGGGTCACAGAAAACACACAAAAGCCAAGCATGTAGAATGGTGCATACCTCAGGAGGCTGAGGCAGGAGGATCACAAATTTGAGGCTAGCCTAGGGAACTTAGTGACAAACTGTCTCAATGTAAAATAAAAATAAATGAATAAAAAAGGCTGGGCACGTAGCTCAATGTGAGGCCCTAGGTTTAATCACTGATACGTAACACACACACACACACATTCACACTCACACACACAGAGGCTCTGGATGTAGAATCTGTGTTCACTGCTGTTAGGAATAAAACCAAAGCCTGCCCTTGGAAACTGAAGAACCAGTCTGACTGCTGCATGCCCCTCGTTAGCAACCCCTATTTCTCCCTCCCGGGTGCACCCTCAGCCCCACATGCGCCCCAAGCTCCCATGACCCTCACCTTCGAAGCGGATGTTGAAGGCCGAGGCTGCCTGGCCCTGGTCGGAGGTGAACTCGACTCGGATGCTGTTGCTGTCACTCAGCAGCCCCTCGAAGGGGACGCTCTCGGTCTGCAGGGAGTCGTACAGGAGGGCAGACTTGTTTGTTTGCCCACTGTACACCATCATCCTGCAGGGAGGAGAGACGAGTGGCTGAGTGGTTGTGGGCGGCTGTGCCCCCACCCTGGTCCCACTACCAGGTTCAAATCCTGCCTGTGCTCTTTCTCCTCAGGACAGGCTGCTTTACCAGGCCAAGCCTCCTTCCCTCTCTGTGGAAGAGAGTAATGCTTGTCCTAGATTTTCCCTCTTTCTGTCTTTTTTTGTTTTGCAGTAGTAGGGATTGAACCATGGGCCCTTGCACTGAGCTACACCCCCAACCCTTTATTATTTTTGATTTTGAGGCAGGGTCTTGCTAAGCTGCCCAGGCCAGGCTCGAACGTGCAATCCTCCTGCCTCAGCCTCCTGAGGAGCTGGGATTATAGGACTGTACCACTAGGCTCAGCTTGTCCTGGATATTTTTAGATTTATTCAGAAGTTGCAGAGAAAGCGATGTGTATGATACAATATAATTAATGAGTCTGATGAATGAATGAATGATTATTATTATTAATTGAGAAGTTGGGATTAATGGACTATGATCATCGCTGGGACCATGGTGTACATAGTTAGGGAGATCAGGGTCCGCTCCAACTCCGTAGCTTCCAGCTGTGTAACTTAGGACAGAGCACCTCAACTCCCTGATCTCTGGCTCTCCGCCTGGGTGCACTCAGGGTTCCATCAGCGTGCGGGGCGGAGAGAGGGTGGTGTAAAGTGTCGGGGCAGAGTGGGTGTGTGAGTCCTGCTGGGCTCTGCCTCTGACCCCCATTTCCCAGGAGGGTCGTGTAGGGAGTGAGCAGCCCTCATTTCCAGTCCCCAGCTCCCCACCAACCGAGTTTACACAAGTCTCAAGACCCCTCTGGGCCTCAGTTTTCCAGTTGTGAGTCTTTCCTTCCTATCTTACAGGTAGACCTTGACACTATGTCAGAATAAAGTGCTCTGAAGATGCAGATGGGTTAGAAAACTGGTTGGATATTCGTTTTTATTGTTATGGGAACTATGTTCTTGACTCCTTGCTAGCCCAGGCAGTTTAAAAGAAATTATGCAAAAGTGGGGAAGGAAACAGTTCACAAATTAGGTAAATTTCTTTTATGGCGTTATAAACACACATTTTTAATCCACTGAGGGTTTTTTACTTTATTGCCCACATGAAAAGAGTTCATTCCATGCCACCCAGATGAATTTCTAAGCTACCAGGATGCAGACGCCAGAGCTAGTATGTCCTCTGCCCCGTGTTCAGATGGCTGTGATGGCAGAGGGTGGTGGTCAAGGTCAGGCTTCCTGGGTGGGGAGGGGCCACCTCCAGTTCTTACCCCTGCTAATTCTGCTGTGCACCTGGAATCTTCTTTCAAAGAAAAGAAGGCTTCGGTAAAGAGGGTCATTTGGAGGAAAACCTTAAGATCTGGAAATCTCTGAAGCCTATTCATCTTCTAAAAATAGTTGTTTTTCTCCAGCTATGTTCCCTAGAATGTCTGTGATAGTAATAAGTTTTGTCTCAAATCTTATGTAGTTTATGTTTGACAGATATGGGAAATGCTGTGTTAAACAAAAATCAAACTTTTTTCCCCCACAGGACTTATCAGTGCCTTTGCTGGCTAATGTATAGTAGGAGCTTCCAAGACAAGGCTAGGGTAGGCACACTCTCCCAAGCATGTTTGACCAGATAAGCCACCTTGTATGCTGCATGTTATGGACCTGGAGTTTAGAAAAATCATCATTTTGGGGGAAATCATGTTAAATTTTTCATGTTTTTTCTTCTACTCAATATCCTTCCAAGGCTCCCTGTTGCCTACAGAGATAGCCTGCTATTCTAAGGCCTTCAGGATACCACCCTAACTTAGCTTTCCAGCTCTATGCCTCTGCTACAGCCCTCTGAAAAGGTCTCACCAACTCTTCTCTTTACGTCTGTCTCTGCCCCTCTTGATTCTCCTCGGCTGGAACACTCTTCCTACTGAAGTTTTTGGGTTCCTTCATCCAGTCTCTTTCTACAGTTTAGATCAAAGTCCCATCTCTTATGTGGAGTCTTACCAAGCTCTGAGTTCTTGCAACTGACCTACTGTGGTAGTTTAGCCATTTTACTCGATCAAGTACACGGGGCAGATGCCATTCACTTCTCCTTCCTAGCACAGCGAATGTCTCCATCCTTTTGTGTGTGATCTTTAACCTCAGAGAACTATTACAAACTCCCTCTCCCACTGGTACCTTGAGGGCCAGTTTCCCTGGTGATTTCCATAGATCTTTTTGGGTTCTAGTGAGGCTGCGAGTGAGTAGAGTCTGTGTGTTCCTTTGGCCCATTTGTTATGATCCAAATAACTCAGGCTACACTGATTCTGGTCTCTTCCCATTCTCGCTGTCTGGTGTAAACTTTGGCCCTGTTCATCTCCAGCACTGCCGGAAGAGGCAGGTCTGAGGCCCATGTGCTAGGAAGTATCCTCTGCCGGGGTTTCCATGCCCAACTTCTCCATCAGAGCCTCCAGGAGGAAGGGCTGGGGACCCTGCATATTCTGATGGGAGCCCCCTTCTTGCCTTATGCTTGAGGCAGTGACTGATGGACATGGAACTGCTCCCTGAAAAGGACCAGACTTTGCTGGAGAGAAGGGCTCCAGGATGGGCAGGGGACTCTGCTGTCCAGTTTTTGCCCCCCAAATCTTCTTCAACCTAAGGCATTCAGAGCCTAGGTTTGAAACGTCAAAGACACCACAACAAAAAATTTCGAGCTGGGGATTTAGCTCAGTGGTTTTGCTGCCTGCTCTGCAAGCTCAAGGACCCGAGTTCAATCCCCAGTACCAAGAAAGCAAAACAAAACAAAACAAAACAAAAAGCCAAAAAGAATTTCGATCACTGTGTTAGGTTCCATAATTCTAAGGTGCCGGCATCCCGGAAGGGCAGTGTACGGAGATGTTGCCCTCTCCTCAGCTCTCTGAGCTCCCATGGCTCTGTGGCTTCCTGCTCACCCAAAGTCCCGAGGGTCTACCAGCCCAGCCAGCTCAGAGGGCGGCAGCAGTGCTGGGGGGCGTCAGGGCCAGGGGGCACCTCTGCTCCCACAACAGGGTCAGGGTTGTGGATAACACACCCGGCTCCCTCATCCTGCCAACAGGACCACTCCCAGCACCAGGCCCTGGGGCCCCCAGGGGCAGAACTGCAGCATCCCAGCAGCTCCTGTGTGCTACCATGTCCTGTGTCTCCCACTTGCCTTCCCCTGTCCCTACCAGTGCCCGTGAGGACCCACTCCCAAATTCACCGCCCGCACACCCTAGTCTCAAGTCTGCCTCCAGTGGGACCTAATCTCAGGCAGCAAGGCTAAGCAGGGAGCTCCTGGTTTGCTACAGTGCGCTGGAATGAAGTGGGGAAGTTTTAGGGTTCTGGACCCCGTGCATTTTCCATGCAGCCTGCAGGTGTGTTCTGGCTTCAGTGCTGCCTGGCACTGTCTCCCTCCTTCCCAGTGCCCCAGCCTAGCTTTCCCGCGTCAGCGTCCTGTCACACCGGTGCCAGTCTCCTCTGCTGTGAGCCTCTTCTCCACAGAGCCAGACAGGAGCAGGGCACACGCGCTCCCTCCTGGTCCAACTGCAGAACGCGACACCCAGGAGAGAGATGGAGGCAGCACCATGTGGGGGACCTTGCCTCCCTCCTGCTTCTTCCTGCCACCTGCTGTGTGACCTGGGCAGAAAAATGGAAGCTGAAGGACACTAAGATCCTTGCCAGGCTCCCCAGCTTGATCTTTGTTGGAGTCCGGGAGCCAAAGTTCTAGCCATTTCAAGACTGAATCCTCAGGGGCATTCTGATGCTCCAGGAGGGAGTGAGGCTGGATGGGGGGCAGGCTGTACCTGCCAGGGCTGTGCCCCCCAGGGCTGTACCTGATAGGGCTTTACCTGTCCTTGTCATGCAGCGACAGCCTCTCAAAGTGCAAATGCAGCTTCTGTCCCTCAGGTGCTTCGATGGTCCACACACAGAACTGGCTCCCATTGCTGTTTCCAAGGTGACTGGGAGAGAGGACCCGGCCGATGGTGGCATTGTGCACTGCTCCTCCACAGGGGGCTGGGTCCAGAAATCAGGGGAGGGTGGGGGGGAGGGAGAGGAAGTGGATGCTTCTTTCTCTCCTGCCCCACCCCCACCCCAAGCTAGGAGGAGACATAAGGGACCAGGCTGGACTGGGAGGAAACAGGTGGGAAGGACAGTTGGGAGGGGCTTGTCCTCCTGGGGAGGAGGCCCCCATGATTGGAGCCTTCCACACATGTGTGCCACGGCAGGGAGGACTCGAATAAAGACTCAAGGGGACCAGTTGTGCTCTGACTTTTCTTTGTAAAAGTGGTCATGAAGAACATACATAGGCAGCTCACAAATGAAGAAATATACAGTTAGTACTGAGACAGCGCTAACACAATTCAGCCTCCCTAATGATAAAAGAAATGCCAATCTAACATATATTCTGCTTTTTTCCACCTTACTGGTAAGGATAAAGGGCAGCAGTAAGATCTAGAGATGCTGAAAGGAACTGGCCAATCTTGTTCATGACTCATTAGAATGCAAGGTGTGGGGCAACTTAATGAAAAGTCTGGAAAATACGTTCAGATACTTTGACCTAGGAATTAGCTTTCTGGGAACTTATCCTATGAAAAGATTTAGAGATTCACGTGCAGAGTTATGAATGAGGATAGTCATCGCTTCTTTCTCAGAGTTAAAAACAAAAAATAACACAAATATCTACTTACAAATGTTTGATGAAATAAATAGTCTCTATCCATGTGCTTGTCAAGCACGATGTTCTCAAAGAATATTGAAGAATATAAGAAAATGCTCACAATGTTTTAAGTGTGCAAAGCAAGTTAGAAAATGGGCTGCCATACCGATTTCAATGAGCTGTTTGCAAGGATTGGTTGAGATCATGAATATAAAAGTGATTTGCTTCTATCTTCTACACTTTTATATTTCTTGAAAAATTTTTTTTACCAGAACCCTATATAACTTTTATCATAAAAAATCTCATAAAGAAATATTAAAAAGTGATTTGTGCTCCAGAAAGAGTCACACAACTCTTCCAGTTCACAAAGGAGGCCGTGTTCATACTCTTATTTTCAGGAGCTATGTGGTTCCCAGGAAATTGTTTTTCCGAGTGTTATTTGGGAGAGCTGTTCTGAATTTCCCAGCCCAGGGAGAGCTGGTGGGTGCGGACACTGGGGGTCAGCACTGAAGGTCACGGGGGCGGGGGGAGCCCCGCAGCGACACCTGGGAGTCACCTCCACCTTCTGGGAGGATTAAAGGGCTGGAAAAGTCTTCCTTCCTAAGCACGGCTTTTAAACAACATTCTGCCTCCATTTTCAGAGGAATAGAAGGACAAGAAACAAAGTTGGCACAGCAGAGCCAGGAATTTAGCTCAGTGGTGCCACCACCTGCCTTGCAAGTGAAAGGGTCTAAGTCAATCCCCGGTACCAAAATAAACAAATAAATAAAAATAAAAGTTAGCACAGCGATTTGGAATCAGATCACAGAAGGCTAAAGTTCACAATTTACTTTACGGTAAGATGGAGCCCTCCTCTGGGTTCCCTGTCAGCTGCAACAGGACTCTGTTCAAGTTTTGCCTCCCTTTGCTCCCCTCCTCTTCTGCTGCCCAATTTCTCTCCGTATCTTCTACTTCCAACTTGAAATAGAACATACGCCTCTGCCTACTTGCTTCACTGTGCATCTTGCCTATGAAGGCCTCAGTTTTTTTTTTTTTTTTTGGTACCAGGTATCGAACTCTGGACCTTGCACTTGCAAGGCAGGCGGCAGGACCACTGAGCTAAATTGCTGGCCCTGAAGGGTAAGTTTTGCAGGAGCTAGGACTAGCTGTTGTTGTTGCCACTGCCGCAGGTGCTGTTATTGTTATTTTTATTTTTATTTTTTAAAGCTACAGTCTTTTTTTGTACTACATAGCCTGCTGGGAAGGTGCACACCATAATACTTATCTCTATGTGCATTATCGAAAATTCCAAGGGAAAGTTTGTATAACACTTAAGCTTTTTACAAGGAGCTTTGTATGGTGACAAAAGTCAGTAAGTCTTCAATTTTTTTTTTTGTTGTTGTTACTATACCACCAGCACCAGAGGTATTCTTGGCACGTAGTACATGCTCAGTGAATATTTTCAGAACAGGTAACAACTGTTCATTTTTCAAAAGAAGAAGTTCAGAAAGGTTAAGCCACTTGCTCAAGGACATGCAGCTCTGGAAGTGGGGGACCTGGACTTAACCCAAGCTGCTTCCCTCCAGCATCTGCTGTAGAAACCACTATCCCACCCTATGTCATATTCATTATGATGTTCTACTGTTCCAGAGAATACTGGGTGATTTATAAATGTTTGTTGAATGGACAATATGAATATTTTCTCTTTCGTACCTCCAGCACCAGCTCAATGTACAATGCACAGTAGAGTACTCATTGAGTGTTTGAATGACTGCATAACAGAGTAAGATTTGCAGTAGCAGAGAGGTGGATAGATCTTTTTGCTCTGGACTCTGCTGTGACATTCAGCAAAGACATTGCCAAGGAGCACCATACTTTTTGCAGGCTCACAGACAGGGAATGGGGGAGGAGCTCCTTCCTCCCTTCAGGCTCCCTTCTTGTCCTATGTGGCTAGATCGTCCTCTGGAGTTAGCCAGCCTGAGATTCAGAGCTCAACTGTGGATCTAGGACAGGTGACCTAAGCCCTGCTCCGAGAGTCCACCTCCCATAGAACAGTGCTCATGTGCCACCCTCCTGGGAGGATTGTGATGAGGATTCAGTGAAGTGACAGCAGAGAGCCCAGTGCCGCCCTGGCAGGAAGGGGGAGCCCAGGACCTGGCCAGCACCACTGGCTGGTGGCCTGAGAGCCGAGGGCTAGAGGACACTGTCCCTGGCGGGGCTCGGGAGCCATCTGTCCCCTGCGAGCTGCTCATCTGCTGCCTCTGTCCCTTCTCTGCCTTATTAAGCCAACTGATGGCTCTCTTTGGCTTCAATTTGCCAGTCATGACTCCCCATCCATCTTTCTTAGCACAAATTGTGGCTTAATTCTTCTCTGATTTCACACGTAGATAAAAATTAACATGCGAGAGGCACAGAAACCAACTGCCCTGCAGTTTGGATTTTTTCTTTTGTTTAAAAAAAGGACAGAAAAAAATTCTAAGGGCCTTGGGGGAACAATATTGCAACAATTAAATCTGGTGAGTTATCATCAGCTCTTATTTGCTTTTTGGATTCCACTTGACGATGAATGCCTGGATAGCAAGGATTATGTTGTGTTATTCTCCCGATTCTCTTGGCGTATGGCTCAGAGCCTGGCACATAGTAGGTGCTCAGTTAATACAGATGATCTGTACTTTGCCGGCCATCATCAGGCCTTTTGAGAACCTCTAAAAGCTGAGGTGGTCAAGGCCGCGCAGGGAGAGTGCAGGACGTCTCAGTACTTCCCTAATGATCATGTACACACGGACCACATGAAGGACGTGGTGCATGGCAGATTCCGTTTCAACTGGAGTTACAGGGGCCCTGGATGGTGCCTTTCTACTCATCTCAGTGGTTGAAGGACCACACTTTGAGTAGTGAAGGTGGAGAGGAAAAGCTCAGGGCAGAAATGTCGTGCTCTCAGCTTGCCGCTCCTAGCTTGGGATGTCCCCCTGTTCACACCACATCCTCTGCACCATGAAGTGAAGCCTGGCCCTGACCTCACATGACACGGAAGGTGTTGTCCTAACTGATCACCACGGGTCCATGCCCATCTCCAACAACTGACTGCCACATGGAAGCCAGAGTGACCCCTCCTACCCGTAAGCTCGAGCAGGTGTTGCCTGCCTGGTCTGCACATCTCAGCCCACGGCCTTGAGCCTACAAGAGCTGACACTGACCCAGCCTCCTGTCCTGCCATCTCCTCTGTGCTGTAGCCAGACTAGGGGGTGTGTGTGTGTGTGTGTGTGTGTGTGTGTGTGTGTTACTTGGGATTGAGCCCAGGGCCTTTGCACTGAGCTATATCTCCGGCCCCTTTTATTTTTTATTTTGAGATGAGGTCTTGCTAAGTCACTAAGTCGCCTAGGATAGGTTTGAACTTGCAATCCTCCTGTCTCAGCCTCCCATGGTACTGGGATCACAGGTATGCACCATGATGCCCAGCCCAGATTAGTCCGGTTTTACTTCCTCAAACTCCGACTTCCTTTCCACTTCCGGACCTCTACATTCAGCCCAGTTATCTCCCACTGACGTCCTGGACTTGGTCTCCGAGACCTGTCCTCGGGACTCCTTCCAGGTGCCCCGGTCAGACCTCCCCCTCTTCCGGCTGGCTCCTTTTCTCTGAGGCAGCTCCTGCCACACTGCTCACTGGTGGCCCTTCTGTCCGGCCTGACTCTGCACCGTCACAATCTGTGCGTCTCTGCACTCACTGCCATCTGTGGCTATCATGCCTGCTCCTTCCTCACCACATCCTGCAGCAGACTGGAGACCACCAGGGCAGGGCCTGGCCCAGGCCAGGCATGGTGCTCGGGCATGGCAGGTGCTCGGTGGGTGTTTGCTGAGTGATCATACAGACGCGAAAGGCTCTGGGTGGCAAAGAGCCACATGTGCCTCCCCTTCTGTCTCTGAAGTTTTGGGGTCTACCTGCAGACCCAGCAGTTTCACTTCCCTGCATTAGCAGGAGACCTTCACCAAGTCCTATCTGGGGTGACTGTGAGCAAGTGACCTGACCTCCGTGACACCTGTCTGTAAAATGGGAGGAATATTTCCATCACCTGGCACTGCTGTGAGCAATCACTTATGGCCTCTTGCATGGGGTTAGCACACAGTGGCTGGGCTCAAAAACAAAGCAAGAACACAAAAATACAGCAGGCATAGTCTAAACACAAGCAACACAGGACCTGACAGATAAAGTAGATTTCAACATATTAAAGATGCTTTTGCATCAAAAGGGATTGTCAAGAAGTAAAAAGAAATCCACAGAATGGAAGAAAATACTAGTAAACCCTGTATCTGATAGTGGTTTACTCCCCACAATATAGAAAGAGCTCCCACAATCTAACAACCAAACACAGACAGCCCAATGAAACAATGGCAAAGGACCTGAACAGACATTTCTTCAAAGAAGGTACACAAATGGCCAATGGTGCATGAAAAGATGCTGGCATCCTTAGTCATCAGGGAAATGTATCTCAAAGCCAAACAGGTTGGCAGTGACAGCAATGACAACACGGAGGATGGCAAGTGTCGGCAAGGATGTGGAGAGATGCTGGTGGGACACAAAACTGTGCAGCTGCTATGGAAAATGCTTGGATGCTTCCTCAAAAGCTAAACCACATGACCCAGCAATTCCACTCTTAGGTATGCATCTAAGAGAAATGAAAACTTACACCCACAAAAAAACTTGCACATAAATATTCACAGCAACATTACTTATAAGAGCTAACAGATGGAAACAATTCGAATGTCCACCCACTGATGCATGGATATACAAAATGTAGTAGCTCCATACAATGGAATATTATTCAAGCCTAAAAAGGAATGAAGTACCACCCCGTATTACCACATGGATGAACCTTGAAAACATTATAGCAAATGAAAGAAGCCAGACACAAGACCCACATGGCCCAGTTGTACTTACATGAAGAGCCCCAGTAGGCAAACCCATAGAGACAGAAAGTAGACTGGTGTTTGCCAGGGTGCAGAGGGAGAATGCATGGTAACTATAAATGGGTATGGGCTCCTGGGTGGACAGAGATGTCCTGGAACTTGACAGTAAGGAAAGCTGCATATCATGGATGTACTAAATGCCTCCAGTGGTGAAGTCCATGTTATGTGTATTTCACCCCAATTAAAATAATTCAATGGTAGCAGCATCTGAGTTTGGAGCGGTCTCTGGGTTGAGAGCTGCTCCCCCGTTACTCCTGTCACTCCTGATGTCCCGGGGACCTGGCCTGCTCCCTCCCAGTGGGCCCAACGCCTACCTGAGCAGACAGGCTCCTGGCTGCTCCAGTGGGGCTTGGATGCGTTGATGCATGCCAGTGTCTTGGCGCCCTGCAGCTCGTACCCCAGGTGGCAGTGGAAGTGGGCCACCCCACCCGAGTGCAGGTCCAGCACCGTGACGTCCCCAGACTCTGGCCGGCGGGGAAAGCTGCAGCTCAGCATGAAGGCTGGGGAGGAAGACAAAGGCGACACTGTCATCCTGCGGTGGCGGTGTGTGGGAGGGTGAGAATGTGACCCACGTCCAGGAGCGATTTGTGATGAGGAGGCCGATGAGGGCCCAAGACACCGAGTGTGTGTAGGGAGGGAGGAGGCTGTTTCTGTGCCCCTCACTGAGCACGGGTGTGGAAGTCACCAGATCAGCACTTCCTCAGGGCTCAAGACTCCCCACCCTGCCAACCAGGGAGAGCAGTTCTGGGGTGAAGAACACGCTCCCATGGCACTCTGATGCCTTTCTCCCTGCGTGGCCTCCTCCCCAGGCAGAGGGGAGGCAGGAGCCCAGCTAGGTCAGTGCCACCTGCATACCTTAGTGTGTCTGTTTAAAAGTTAAAAACACAAATTCTTGGAGTAGCCTTTTGGGAAATGCCTGGAGATGTGGAGGCTTAGAGCACCTGGCCTGGGAGGTCAGAGTGTGGACCTTGGCGAAGACCATGGTGCCTTCACACCCTTGCTCTGCCACTAAGAGACCCCATGACCTGGAGACACTGATTCAGCCCCTGAATGTCACCTCCAGCACAGCTGACAATCCTGCCTCACAGGTGGTGCTAAAGAGGAAGGCGAAAATGGCGGGCAAGGTCCCCTGAGCACAGAGCCTGGCACAGTTAGCCCTTGGTGAGCGGGGCACTGAATGGGTGTGGAAGTCAGTCTGAGTCAGGCGAACGCCTCGATTTCCATAAAATGATGACATGTTCATTCCAACTGTACTCCTAGATCGTGGTCTGACTTCTCCTGGAGCACAGAATATATGAATTCTCATTCCCAATACATTAGGAGGAATCCATGAAAATTCATGGCTCAACCAATTACTTTTTTCCTATCTAAAATCTGACAACCCAAGGTGGTCTTGATACTGAAAAGATGTGATGAAGGTCCCCACACAGTCAGCCTCCTGCTTCACACACATCTGACGGAGAAGTTAAGAACGAGTGGCTTTTCCAGATGTCTGACAATGTGCTACACACGGAGAGGGTTCTCAGTATCCAGGTGTGTGGCAGCAACCTCAGGGTCCCTGCAGACATTTTTGCAGCTGGTAAATATCTGAGGGTTGGGGAGAGCACTTAGTTAAGGGGAGGGACATCTGCATCATGGGCTGGATGAGAGTTGAGCAAATAAAGGTAGTGAGGAAGAATAGAAGAAGAAAGGAAGGAAAGGGGGTAGGAAGGAAGAGAAGAGAGGACAGAAGGGAGGGAGAGAAAGAAAGTAAGAAACGCAGAAAGTAAGAGAAAAGTAAAGAGAAGGAACAAAAGAAGAAGAGAAAGAGAAGAGGAATGGACAGGAAGCAAACAGGACACATAGAAAGAGAAGAAAGAAAAATGGGGGGAGGAAGAGAGAGAGAGAGAGAGAGAGAGAGAGTTGGTGGCCAGGCTCCTCCCTGGGGTCTCTACACCGGTTGGGAGGCTATGGATGGACTCAGGGGCCATGAACTTGAATACGGAAAAGTGGCTGGCTTATCTTCATTAACTTCCAACTGAACTTGGCTCTTTCCTTCTGTCACAACTGCAGGCATCAGACTGTAACATCTTAGTGGAACCCAAGACTTTGTCGCCAAGAGAAACCACAGAGGATTTCATATCATAATGTATATCTTGACATTTTTCATATGCTCTTTGTTACCTTGAAATAGAAGTAATTATCAGAACCACTAGGAGATGTTACTCATTGTATGAATAAAGAAGCACAAAGGTTACTATACCATAGATCAGAATAATATTTTGACAACTGTAATTCAATATGACTGGCTTCTTAACATTGCATATGCACTATTTTTTGCTTTTAAGAACATTATTCTGAGAAGGGGTCTGATGGCTTTAGCAAACCACCAGAGTGGTCCCTGGCACAAAAAGTCTGAGAACTGGGGTCCAGAGAAAAACTGAGACAAACACCTCCCTCTCCTCCACCTTGGCCCACCCTACCCTGGTAGTGCAGCTGGAAGGTGCCGAGGCCATCGTCCTGGAAGGTCCGGAAGTAGACAGAGATGGTGTTGGTGGGGCTGCGGATCACCTGCCCCTCCACCAGCAGTGTTTGGTTGGCCAGTACGGTCAGGGTGGGGCCGTCCACCCCTCGTATGGAGAGCAGCTCTCCCTCCGACAGGTTCACGCTCTTTACCTGGGATAGGCAGGGGCAGGAGAGAGAGCTTGGTGTGCTGCAGACAGGGCCCTCCCAGGATGCCAAGGCTGCACCCCAACCAGTCCTGATTGATGGGACCCAGGAGCACTGAGCCCCACCCCACAGAGGTCATGGTGACTTTGAGGGAGGGCCGGAAGTCACACAGTGCCAGATCTGGTGAATAACGTAGATGTTTTCACAAGCTTCTTTTCTATTTGGCACTTGGTAGTCTCACTCACCATATTTTTTATCACACCTCATAAAGACACTCAAAAGGAGGACTTTCAGAACTGTTTCAGAAAGTGGCAAGAATGATGGAATAAGTGTTTTTGAATCAAGGGGAAATATTTGGAGAATTAATAGCAATATGTCTTTTACTGTAATAAAAATAAAAGCAATTTAAACATGGACTATAGTTTTGACCACCACTTATATAGAATAATTGAACCCACTGTCCCTTCTTCTGCACGAACTGGGAAGTGTGGGGCAGGGGTCTCATTTCTAGGGCCCTCTCAGGCCTGCTCCCTTTTCCTCCTGGGTGGTGGCTCTGACTCCAGGGGAACAACTCCTTTTCTGAAGAACTATACACTTGCTTAGTAACTTCTACTTTTTAGGAGCGGAGAAGGAAGAAAGGACACATTGTAGTTGTATCACGGAGGCAGAACAGATGGCACGCGTGTGCTTGCATGTGTGTGTGCGCGCGTGTGTGTTTGCTAAGCAGGGTATCAAGGGACTTTCATTCTGGGTGAAATGCCTCGAGACTTAGCAACATGCTCCGTCCATGTGTTCTGAGCTATTTCAGCGCGGCACTGATTTGGGAACGCCTACTCATTCACCAAAACCCATCTAAAATAGCCCAGGTTAGAGCTAAGGGAAAACCAGATACATTAGCATGATAACAATAATAAGCCTGATTCAGACAATGCTCCAGTGAATTCCTCTGGAAAAGGCAACCCCCACAGGTGCCCTTCTGCGGTTACCTGGAGCTCCACCCCATAGCCAGTGTAGACTGTCACGTTGTATGTGCACTCCAGGAAGCTGTTGAAGGGTAGCAGTGGGTAGTCGCTGGAGTCGATGTATCCCTCAGGGTCTGAGAAGCTCACGCTGCACAGAGCTGGGGGGAAGGCTTTAATTAGGACTCCAAGGACCACTTAAATAAAAACTCACAGATGGGCTACTGATTGGGACTAGCCTTTAGGGGAACTGTGTCTTCCTGCCCCCACCCTGTGCTGTTAATTCCCCTTGGCTCTAAGATCAGTGTGATAAAACAGTGATGACCACTTACTACATGCTGCCAGGCACACTTCTAACCAGCCTATGTGGTGAGCTCATTTATCCTCATGCATGCTGATTTTACACTCCCATGTTAGAAACACGTTAAAAGCTTAGAGAGGGGCTGTGCCTAGGCCAAGCTCACACAGCAAGCATGACTCAGACCAGAGTTTAACTTTTTGTAAAAATCAGTGCTGGGGTTGGCAAGCACTCCACCACTGAGCTGCACCAGCACTTAGACTTCAGTGAGAGACCACATTGCATTTGTCTGAAATTGATGTGTGCCTGACAGCAGGGGCCCTCTCCATGGAAGCAAGACTTGAACACACACATGCGTCACCCCAAGAAATGCACACACTCCTGCCTTGTTATGCACGGGAGCTGCTTTGCTATCCAGGCCCCCCTGGGATACCAGAATCCACAGGTGCTTCAGTCCCTCCTGCAAAGTGGTTTAGTATTTGCATATAACCTGCGCACATCTCCCCACAGGCTTTAAATCATCTCCAGATTATGCACAATCCCTAAGACAAAGTGAATGCTGTGTAAACAGCAGTTACACTGTGTGGTTTAGGCAATAATGGTGAGAAAAATGTCTGTACATATTGAGTGCAGATGCAGGCTTTTCTGACTATTTTCTTTGAGTGCTTGGCTGAGTGCATGGAAGGGGGGCCCGTAGATATGAAGTTCAAATGTAATGGGAAAAGCCAGCGCCCTTGTGGCTGTGGTGTGGCTCTGTGACTCCATCCTCAGCATGGGGGTGGGGACTGGACACTCTGCAATGGCTCGTGTCTTCCAAGCATGTTAAAAGACTCTGTTTTAAAGTGAAGAGCTTTCTAATCCTGCTCCTTTGCTGTGTGGCTTTGGGTTCTCAGAGTCTCAGTTGTCTCATCTTTAAAATGGGCGTTAGTCCGAACCACAGAGCCAGACTCCTGGCCTGGGGCATGTGGGCTCCCCCGGACACAGGAGGCACTGGGCGGCGGGGCTGCGTACCTGGGGCCTGCTCGGTGGTGATGACGGTGGTGGTGATGATGGTGGACGTGGTGGTCTCCTGGCTCTCCTCTGAGGCTGACCCAGTCAGCTCATTGTCACCCTTGTCCATTAGGGTCCCGGGGCTGGCATCCTCAGCTGGAGCCTCAGGGGTCTCCTTGTGTGCTTGTGCGGCAGGGTCCCCTGGCTTGGGCCTCTGCAGGAGTGTGTGCGCCACCAAGGGCTTCGAGGTGAAAGGGGAGATCTGCAGGGGCTCGGGAGTTGTGGGCACAGTGCCCTCCTTGCCTTGCAGCCAGATGGGCCTCTCCGAGGATGGCTGGGAGGGGACTCCCAAGTCCATGTCCCCTGGTGGGCGGGGCTTCTCGATGGAGGAGGAGTGGAGACCAGGATCCGCGGATGCTGCAGGGTGCGCCTCAGCCTTGGCGGGGTCTGTGGAAGTGGAGGTGGATTTGAGTCTTGGTGTCTTCCAGGCTGAGGTCACCAGTTTGAGTGAGGACAGCTTCTTCCTGGGAGCAACTGTGTTCATTGTCCCGGCCACCTCTGGGGGCAGTGGTGACAAGGTGGCGGGGTGGTGGTGTGAGGAGGGGACTGTCCCTTCCAGCTCCAGCTCACCCAGCTCTTCCCCCGACTGCACAGGGTTTGGAGGCACCATGGTAACTTCGTCTTTGGGGTTATGTTGGCTCAGGCTGCTGCTCTCCAGTGCTGCAGAGGGCAGGAGTTGGGGACCTGGGAGTCCAGCGTGTCCCTCTGGGCCAGCACCTTGGGGACAGGAGAGAAGACACAGTGAGCTTGGGACTGCCCTCGCCACCAGACTTGGAGGGTGTCTGGCCCTCTTAAGGTTGGTACCCAAGGCTGCCCAGGCCCACCCCTCAGTCTTCTCCTTCCCTCCCATCCCACCATCACAAGTGTCTCACTGTCTAGTTGTGTATGGACCAGGCAGGGTGAGGACAATCGTATTTCATGTGATAACTGCTTAGAAAGAGAAGACAGAGAAGACAGGCTTCTAACCTGTACAGCTGGATGAGTTGTTCATTGCACTAGGATATCCAGCTACGAGGATGAGTGGGGATGTAAACGAGGCAATATGTCTTGCCCAAGCTGTGTGCCCTGGGTCAGGGTTATAGTGTCTTGAATGGGGAGGGGCACTTTTTAATGAAATAACATGAAAGTAACCTTATGAGACACATGAAGTTCAGACAGTTCAGTTTCCTGAAGCACATTCAGAAAATAAGGGATGCATGGAGGCCCGTAGAGGCCTGGCTGAGGCAGGGACAGAAGAGACAAAGGCACAGAGGCAGAGGGTGACTAGGGATAAAGCTGGTGAGGTAGGGAGGTTGGGGTTGGCCCTGGTGGGTCTTGCCCAGTCTGTAAGATCCTTGTGACTTGTTTTTGTCTTGAAAGTAAAACTGCCCAGCACAGAGGAGGAGGCTTCTGGGCCCCTCAGCACCACTTCCAATGCAGAGGAAGTGAGCTGCATGGGCACCAGCAGCACCGCCCCCCACCATCAAAATGAAAAGACACATAAACAAGCCTTAAAACCAGACTTCCAGATCACCTACAGCAACCCCAAAGGGAAATGAGATGGAACACTCTGATACTCAACCACCCAGACTCCCTGAACTGGCAACAAAAGAGGATCTAGAAAAAAGAAATCAGAAGTAATTTCTCAGATAACAGTAGAGATTG